TTAATATGATTCTTTAGTTAACTACTGTTGTCAAGATCTTTCTAAAACAAGTTGGGTTAACTTTCGCTTACTGCTAAATCATTGAAAAGAAACCAATGTAAACAGTTAACAGCAGAATTTCATGCTCTTTCTAATTATTTATTCAAAACTTTGATAGAGACAGACGAACAACGACATTTATAGAAGGTACTAAATAAAAACAGGTGTTGATAAATATATTTGCTCTTTTTTTTCTGATACCTAGATGTTATTGAAGAGAATCAGAAACAGTTAGAATCCAAACTCGATGCTCTTTCGAAATATATGTTCATCATGTTTTTTTAAACTAACCGTTCGTTAGCTGTGAGTAATTATTTAAATAAAAAAATATTGATTTCACCAAGTAACAAAGACTTTTTTCTGTTCCTCATAAATTCTACGCATGAGATTTTCGAATAGTTTTGACTTTCTGGTTTTGTAAAGAATTTAATTTTCTACCAAATCATACATTACAGGAAGCTGTAACTCGAAACAATCAAAACCTAGAAACTTCTTCCAATAAATACTCTTTTTATAAGACGACATTTTTCAAAGAAATCATTTTTTGTTTCGAATTGTTGGCGTTTAGAATGCCATAGATTTCGATCGTTTATAGTAATATATAAAAAGAGAACCAAATGGCACATTTTGTAGAACAAGCACCATTTCATAAACCGGTGCATAAACAAGATATTCTGATAGTTCAGTTTGAGACAGTTTGATCAAAATACAAAACTGAACTATAGATGAAACATTCTGTACAGACGTTGCTTTTTCGCTTCCGTCAAAGATTTGTTTTCAATGAATTGGCTTTGAGTCCGAACAAATTCTGAACATATAATTAGAAAGAACATGAAATCTTGATTCTAGTTGATTACTTCTGATTCTTTCCCGTAACTGATACGTAAGTGAATGAAAATTAATCAGACATGTTGTGTAAAGACTTTTACAACAGAAATTATTAAATAAATATTCTCATATACTACTGTGGATGAAAGAAGATCTTGAACGTTTATCACTATCATTGATTTTTTGAGGACTCGACTAGTGTTGTAACAAACAAAAATACTTTGAACTTTGAGACAATATATATATATATACTGACAATGGACAGGATCAGAATGTACTAGAAGAGAGAAAATTCATATGGAGATACCAAGGTCACTTCACGAGAAACTGATAATAGGTGTCATCATTCATCGAAGACTCAAGGATACCGTACAGATGTAATGGATCTAACTACTTGAAGAAAGACAATGAATAAGAGCACAATACGAGTGATAATTTCAGGATATACTTCAATTGATGAATTTATGGTCTATAGAGTCACCTATGCCATTGGAGTATCATAAAAGACTTGTGTCGTCTTTGCAAGACGACTAGAGAAAGATGAACGGTGTCCTCCCACTTAAGAGCACCTTAAGATTACTCCATTCTTTCTCACGTAGTAGAAGTTACCCTTCACTGGCTATGCCATATCAATATAAGAGACAAGCTAAAACCAATTATTAGTTGAATCAGTACTGAAACACATATATGTGCTTTTCGTCTCCAAGGGGTTGACATGATGAATGACTTGGCAACAAGTGAGATGAATCATTTATCAATTTTACAATCAAATAATATTAATCAACAATAAACAACAAATAACACTGAAGTTATATAGAAACGACCAAAAATTGATGGTTTCATTAATTTAACAATTATGGAAAAAAATCTTTGACATATCCATTTAGCCTGAGCCAATCTATTCAAATGACGTTAGAAAACAATGGACGATAAGGAAAAATAGTTTGAATATTAATCTTACTTTACAATTAAATATTAAGGATGTGCATGAATATACGATGTACCTAGTATAGGATATGTTTTCAAAATACTTTTATTCCGGCATCTAGTTTGTTTTTCTTTGTCAAGATGTAAAAAATTTTAAAAAATGTTTCGGAAATCTAGAAAATTACTCTTTACTCTTATTAGTATTATTCTTAATGTTTTTTTACACGAAAAACAGAATAAATATTGAATATTGAGATTTTTCTCGTAATTCTGTGAAAAAAGCACTTTTTAATGTGCGATATGTTGTACTAATTACTTTATATTTTAATATCTGCAGACATAGTTACGGAAATCGCTTGTGTAGGACTAGGAGATTATGAACATTTACATATATCTATATTTAGAAATTTGTGCAGGGTGATATCTGTTACTTGGCGATGGTTGGTTCTTGTGCTTACAAATATGTAGCAGTTGTAAAATACTACAACTAAAATGTATTATACTTAGAAATGGTTGAGAAAAAAATTATTGTGTATTACCTTTTAACTTGATATATTTCATTTTTAAGGCACAATTGATGTGATTTAATCCTTTAGGTATAAATGTACTTTATGAAAGTACGATTTTTTCAAGTTTCTTAATTTTTGAACACCTCACAAACGTAAAAAGATATTGAGATGCGATGATGCAAATTTTGTTTGCTGATTTCAAATATACTATTAATTTTGTTGATACGTGTATGAAAAACGAACAAGAGAGTGCAAAATAATTTAAATGACTTCGTCTTGGCGTGAGTGTGCAGTCTCCCTAGCAATATTTTACCTATGAATGTTTTTTTCTTAAATTTTACTATTATATTTTTACATGAGTATGATGAACGTTAATCACAAAAGGCATGACAGCATGGGTGACTCTTGTTTTTCTCACATTTTGTCTTTCTTTGTATGTTTCATAGTGGGTGTTCATTGCCAATGAATTTCTCGAATCAGACACTAGTTAATCCTCATCATTTGTTTGAATAGTCTAACAAAATCTTTTCGAATATCTGGTGTAGCTTTTAAAGAAAAATAATATCCATCGGCCAAACTATGGATTTTTTTCGAAGAGAGCCTGAAATTTGATAATTGACTCTGGATAATACAAAGCTTTATTTCAATGACTATTGAGAACTAATAATTGTAATTCGTATTGTGGATAGAAGATAGTCAGGACTATTTTTTTCAATAGCAAAAAGTTTTCATACATATTGGAATATGCTGTATTAATATTTTATGATAAAAGAAATGAGACATTCATTTATATTTCACGAACAAAGTTGCAGTATCTCACGTAGAAAGAAAAAAAATTTCTGAATGAGAAAATAACTCGAAGACTTTCTCCATTGATTCAATAGTTTGGAAAAAAGCATTTCTAGACAATAACTTCCAAAAAAATTCTCCCACACTGAGAAAATTTTCCCAGGATGTACGTTAACGCCCTTGGACAGATTTTTCAGCTTTGCTCATGAGTTATTCAGAAAATGAGACCAAAACTTGTTTGATGACCATCCTTTTGTAATAATAATGATTATACAAATTTAGAAGTTTCTAACCATGATGATCGAACAAAAGTACTGAAAAAACTTTACTTAAGTATCATATCATGATTATAAATATCTCAGCGATTTTTATAATACATTGTTTTTCTGAGATATAAATACGAAGATAAAACTTTGGGAGAACATAGTATCATACAATGTTTTATTTCTCAATCTTTTTTTGTTCATTTACTCATCCAAATAAAGTTAAAGAAGAAAATAACTGAAACAGAAAAAAGATGCACTTTTGCCATAATGTATTGCATAATGTTTTAAATATGATATTCATTTGAAGAAGTCAGATTAAGCAACCAAATTTCACGATGATTAAACAAACGAAAGATAATTTGACACAGATATATTAAACTATGAACACAGTTGAAAGAATAAATACGGATAAAGCAATATTTTATCATTTTTATTATTTGCTTGTTTTGCACGAGTTTGCAGATATGAATGTATGTTGTAAATTAGAACGGAGTTTTTTTTGTATACCAATCTTCCGTCTTTAATATTTCTGTGAAGCAGTGAGCAAATAAGCTCAAATTTTATGACTGACTAGACATATGCCTCGGTCTATCTATTGATGAAAGAATTTTTTTAAAAGGTTGACCAACAATCAAGTTATGTGCTGTAGAATGAAATCGATTCATTGTGTTCTATATTAGTACAAAGTCTTCAATAATAGTACCAACGCAAAAAATATATCGAATGAGAACACACCAGTGTATATACATAGAAGGACGTTCTTCTATGTAAATACGCTGGTGCGTTCTCATTCGATACAATTTTTGCGTTGGTACTGTTATTGCAGACTTTGCACTAATATAGAACGCAATGAATTGATTTCATTCTACAGCACATAACTTGATTGTTTGTCAACCTTTTAAAAAAATTCTTTCATCAATAGATAGACCGAGGCATATGTCTAGTCAGTCATAAAATTTGAGCTTATTTGCTCACTGCTTCACAGAAATATTAAAGACGGAAGATGGGCATACAAAAACTTCGTCCCAATTTGGAACATGCGCTCTGTTTATTCTGGTTTTTTTTTTCTACCATTGGTACTATTAATATCAGAACAAGGAACATGTCGATTAGTTGCTTCAGTAAACTGTGCTCTACATATTACTTCCATTAAGAAAAGGCACAAAGCCTAAAGATGTCATAGAAAATAAAATATTTATCAACAATAACACTATTGCTATGTTTGGAAATGAAATATCAATTTGGATATTTTTTCTTTAGCATATTCATTTTTATGAGACTCTTGTTTCATTGTGACTAAATTGATCGTATCATTAATTATACAAAATGAACATCATCATGTTAATTGTCTACAAGACTATGTGTTGAAGAATCCGAAAAATGATCAAATCATAAATATTTTAATATTTTTGAGTTAGCATAATCCTGCCTCTTTTATTTTTAAAGTCGAATTTATCTTAAATGCGAAATCTTTATTAAACATGCAAAGTGAACAAATAAAATACTGTAGAACAATTTAAAAAAAAAGTGAAAAAGGACTAGAACTACTCAGGTATCTATTAAAAAAAAGATCTAAAGCGCTTGTTTTTTATGTCATTTGTTGTTATCGCTTGAGAATTGATCCATCTAATCATAGATTGGCTTATTCCTCTGCAGCTGGAGCAGCTTTGCCTGCTGCAACACCAGGAGGAGCAGCATAATTTGGTTTGTTTCTAAAGGAAAAATAGAAAATTTAGTGAAATCTAAGCTTGATTTTGAAACTATGTTTACGTACGACATTGATTCAGTGTTTCCAAATCGATCACCAGTATCCATACCGAGTGCTCCAGCTCCAATACCAAATCCAACACCACGAATACCGAATTTACGTCCATAGCATTGTCTGCAATATACATTACCGTCATGTTCAGCCATTGTCATTGGTTCTAACATTTTTTTACAAAGGCCTTGTGTTAAGAAAAAAAGCACACAATAGAAAAATCAAGATAAATTACAATTTACATACCACATCTGTAGCAAGTTTTGTGCCATTGTTTTCCAGCAGCTGGAATAGATTCAGCATGAAAAACAGCTTGATTACAACGAGGACAACGGACAGCTTCTTGGGTTCCGAAAGGCATTCTAAATAGAAAATAGATCGAATAACTATTGAATGAATTTATTTTATACGATGAGAAATCTGTACGACTTTAAAACTGATCGAAGGTCTAGCTAATAGGAAAAAAAAGCTGACAAAATTATGGTTGTAATGAGAACAATTCAATTTTATCAACCGAGTAGTACTTTTTTCTCAGAGACATTCAAATCTTTTTACTGAGAATATAAAAGATTCATTCAATGATTCCGGAATGTCTAATAAAATCTGATCTATTTCAGCTTTCTACTAGTGATATGATCGAGGTTGTATGAAAATATTTTTAATAAAAAAAAGAAGTATTACTTACATGGCTTTGATATTTTATGATAGAAAGACAGAAGAAGTTTGGAAATATATCTAGAAACAAAACGAACAATAAGCATCCGTCTAGTTCTGGGCGAACATAGAAACAGAATGTGCAAATCTGTTTCCTGTTTACTGTAAAGAATATACCAGCATTAATATGATAAATAAGTAGTATATCTCACAGACCGGCAAATTGTACAGAAAAGAAGCAGAAACACTGGCAATATATACGACTTGTTTCAAGTTAGATGGATGACAACAGAATAGACAAGTCAAGATTAAAGGAGAATATTAGGCATCGTATAACGGCTGCTCTTCGTTTTTGGCTTGGATGTGTATTATTTTTATCTCTTTCTGTGATGCTGATGATGTACAATGTCCAAAACCGACACAAGATAAGAAAAATAAGGAAATGTCAACTTGTGTTCGTGACGAGTAGGTTGATTTTGTATACCACTAGCAACAGACAACTTGTCCATCAAGAACTCAACTCTAAACGATATCTTTTTTGTTTCATAGAAACAGTTCTTTTTCTGTACGTATATGCGTTAGATTTAGAGAAACCATAGAAAAATTATGTGCTACCACAAACATCACAGAATTCTTAAAAGATATATGCTGTTTATTTATATGGGTACTATTATATCGTCGAATAGTTAGGATTCCTAAGATAAATAGCTAATAATACATTGCCATAAGCAGAAAATGCAAAGAAGGACGATGGTTATTATTCATAAAAAAAAAATCCTACTACAAGGATATTACAAGTAAATGATTATTAGAAAAGATTGACTCTATAACTAAGTAAAACAATAAAGCAAGCGACACAAAAGCATATTCTAGAGCTTATGCTGAAATTGATATTATAGATATTTTTTGGCAAACGATTAAAATGGCAATTGCATTTAAATACAATACACACATCTTTCTGTTTTGATAAGATTAAACAAGTGATCGAAGCATTTTGTTGAAGTTTAATATAATATACGTTGTCGTCTTATGTTTATTTGCTTTCGAAAAGTGTTGATCGTTTGAATTTATGTTTGTGCTTATTGTTTATTAAAACTTGTTTTTGTATGAATACGTACATCATGCTGCTTTCTTCTGTTTATAATGAATGTTTCATAATTGAAGTTATTTGAATCAAGCTTATTTGGTTAACAAAGTTTTGTATTTTGATTTTACGTCAGAAAAGGGAATATTCAAGTTTAAATAGACAAGAAGAATAGAGGTAGTGTTTTTTTCAGATAAACGATCATATATATTATTCTGCTGTATATTTTAGAGGTAAATATGATTTATTATTGGACTTTAACATTCACAAGAGACTACAATTTAATGAATATATATGTATTCTTTCAATTTTTGTTTTTTGATTACTTATATTTAGTCCGAATTCGACCTTGAAACCAATACTGAATAATTTCAACATCAGATTAATAAATCTGATATCAAATTCGATTGGATCTAGTCAGATCTGGTCACTCAACAAAATGCGATGGAAATCAGATGATAGAATCAATGACGAGTCCAAAGGTCGGATCCTAATGAATTTTCAAGGTCATCTAACTATTGGATTCCGATAAGATTCCTCTAGAATTCTACCAATATTCTCTGCTCTTCGATAAATTCTGTTTGTCCTGATTAAATCCAGCATTTAGACACTACTAGAATTTAGCCAAAAAGATTTATAGTCTCTGATGGTTGAAGTTTGGTGTATTTCTTGGGAGTTTTGATCAGATACTGTCTAACATAGTAGTTATTTTTGTCGTATCCTGTCATGCCATCATGGCAGAGCTTCTGAATTGGGTTTATTTATCAGACTAACTAATAACTTAATATAACTATGTAATCTTCTTCAAAATTAATATTCGCATGCCAGAAAACGTACTTTGATTTTTCTTTTTAGTTCAGTTCTTTTGAGAACCTAACAAAAAACAATTATTTTTTTTATTTCAATACGGTTGAAAAACAAAATAAAAATCAAACTTGTTTGAGATGATCATAATTTGTATTATTTCTTTTATTATTTTCAATCATTACTGAAACTATTAGACAGGAATTGAATAAAGAAAATAAAAACATTGTCAGATGAAAAAAAGAAGAAACAAATGCAGGTTTTTTAATGTTTTATTTGTTTTCGAAATTTTTATTTTATGCTAACATTAGAATTTTCAACATAAAACCAAAAAACTCCACATAACAGATGGGTAAAATAAAAATAAATTAATCACATATTAAGCCGGAACAATAATATAATATAGTGTTTCGAAATTTCGCTAATAAAGATTTTCATTAATGCATCTTCTGGAATTTTGCTGATTCAACTGTGGATTAAATATCGGCTATAAATATTCCTATCGACTATATTGATGAATGTGAGCTATGATGTATGTATATTCTAACAATATTAGCTTCACCTTTGTACATGAGTCTCATATTAATATTGTTTCGTAACAGCTTGCAAAAGTTTACTCTACTTTCATCCATATACCCTTCGAGCTTTCGCCATTGACGAATGTCCTATTGACGAAAGTCTTGTTGAGGGAATTCCGGCCACCTACTTGCTTCAGTTAAACTCAAAAAGAGAATTTTTTTAATCTACTGAGAATTTCAAGGCAACCACGATCTCAATTTCTTCTTTAAAAATTGTCAAACACTCGAATTCCATGATATCTTCTGGAATCAACTTAACCTACTAGCCCAAGAAATTATCATGTTCAATGAATCATCATCGTTAGATATACTATTCGATCGAATAAAGATTTTTTTCCAACAAATGAGACAAAAGTTAGTTCGTAAAAACTATTCTATTAAAAGGGATTATTTTTCTCAATTGGAAACTCATATACTGAGGTGATTTATGCGAACATAACTTGTTTCAACATTGTGTTGTATTTCGTAATTTCTGCATGGAAATGTAGTGCCAACCAACAAAAAGCGGTCATCAAGCTTCATCAATGGACATGCTATCCAATATGATCAATCGAAGTAAATAATTGTGAGAAGAGGTGGAGTATTAGTTACTGTTTGGTAAAAGGTTGAAAGAACCATTCCGATTGATTTCACTCATTTCTAATGTATCTTAAGATGTATTGAAAAAAAATGATTGTGCAACAAAGTGCATAAAATAGAAAATATAACAATAGACATACTAGAGAGAAGTAACCCACATTTCTCACTGAGGAGAGATCGAACTCGGAATCGAATCATTACTGATTGAAACTAATCATTCTTCTCGAGAAACCTAAGCATGTATGAATTTAAAAACTGAAAAAAACGTTCTAGTAGTCAACATAGGCGTTGAAACTTCTGTATGATTTCAGTTGCGCTCGGAAGAAGTCTAAGTTCGATTTTTAGTGTGTCAGAACTCGTTTGAAGATTAAACGTGCTGAAATGCGCCTACGAAACCCAGTCATGTGCGTTCAATCAGAATTTCAAACGTGGTTGAATGCATTTTACAGATCATACTTAGCAATTCATATTTTGAACATGTTTTGATGAAACAAAGAACACACATCCAGATGCATCTCATTTTCTGTCAGTATTTACATAGGCAAACAGTAAATTTAATGACATTTACAAAAAAAGAAGCATCTCTTTAACAGTCGTTGTATAGATCTTCGAAATTGTTTTCGAAACAAATTGCTCGAGCCATAGTAGATGTAAAATGGCATGCCGTAATTTATATAATATAGTAAAATGCTCACTTGTTGCACAAAATATTCTAGGATTTGTTGATCGATGTTCTTTTTGACAGAACTTGCAATTACATTATATGAATAAGCGACAAAACGTAGTAACACTAGTACGGTCGACAAGAAAGCATGTAGAAATGTTAGAAGAATCAGTTGTTGATTTGTCAGTTGAACATTGCGCGTCTGAACACTTGAGGCAGGCGTCGAAATGATGCGATTTCGCAATTGTTTGATGTGAAACCATGTCATGATTCCAAAAATCAACATGCCTCCATGAGGAATGAGAACACTAAAAACAGCGATGTAAGCACTGACTATGATCGATTGCAAGCCAGGCACTGGTGCACATGTACCGTTACGAAGATCGAATACTATTAGAAGAAAGCTGCTGGAAATTAAATCAAAGAACATGGCTACAACAAAAAGTTGTCGAGCAGATGAAGAAGAGTTTAACCATTGCCATCGTACATTCGATGATGTTGTAGTACATCTATCAAGTGCTGCTAATAAAACACACGTTGAAGCCATCGTCGGTAAGCATACTGCAAAGTAAGAACGTACTTTACAGATACTACGATCGACATTCATTAGATTATTCCCTAAATATTCCGTTGCCAAACGAATGATAATGCCATAATTGATAAAAATTAGTTCAAGAGAAGAAGAACAAATCAAATAAAAAGTGCAGGAATGCATTCGAAAAGTTTTGCATAAAAATGTGATAAGATTAAATACACTGCCTATTGTTCCAATAATCAGTACTATAAAGAAACCATATGTAGTAAAATAGTGTGTTACTTGCTCTAATGATACCATGTTTATCGAATGGAAGCAGAACTGAACAGTAATACCATAAATCAGAATTTCACTATAGATGTGAGCTTCACTTTTTCTATTTTGATATCAAAACAAATTTGAGCGTACAATAAAGAGTTTTGTTGAAAAATGTGATTTGTAATTAACATTGTGGAATGATATTTTCTTGTCATTACAACTGACGTTCATGCTTCATGCGATATCGCTCTAACGTCAATTCCAATGAGAAAGCAGAGAAATTATGTGTTCATTTATGTTAAGCCAGTTGACAGGCCAAGAATCCGTATAATTGCACTGCAGAGAATGCAAAAGGAAGAGGCATATATGATTTCCAAATTGTTGTATTTCAAGCCACGACAATTTTATGAAGAGTATAGAAAGCAGTGTCACGTCCATCTTCTCTTTGTATTTCATTAGAAACCATCCGAGCTCTTTTCCACGTCTCATTTTCAGAGATGAATCCGATGGTAGCAATCAAATATTGAGTCTTCATATCGTTATCCGAGAAAAAAGTAAGTTTGACGCTTTTGGCTGCTATACGACATCAGCCGTGAAGACTTGATCACCGATAAATGCACTAGCCATGGTAGATAAGCCCATTCAAAATCCAGCTGTTGTTGTACTAGACCCAATATGATGAAAAATGCTAGAAACTATAAAGAGTTACACAAATCTTCAACATCAAAGTATATCATCAATTATAGTATTGACAAACTTGTTCAAGATTTTCCAACACATCTATGCAAAACTAACTGTTTGCTTTGTTGAAAGTTTCAGATCAAACGAATGATTCTCTTTCAAGATAATACATTTAGAAAAACCACTGCTTTCTGACAAAAGCTCAGAAATATGGTCCATTTTTTAGATATCCAATAGCTGAAGAAAAACTCATTCGTTTGAGCTGAAACTTTGAGGATATAATGAGGACCATAAGTTCTATTATTGGAGAAATTTTCAGACGGAAATTCCTTGTTGAGATTGTTTTCATAATATCCTGGCATAGACTGAAAATTCCGTAAAATGACCATTACTCGAGACCAAAGGCATAATGCCACGAACCCTTCTTGGGTTTTTATCTAGAATGTGAATTCTATCCATGGGCAAAATATGAGCTCAAACGGAAGTTATCAGTTGGATAAATTTCATCGTAAGTGAAACAATCCTTAGATACACCAAAATTGGAACTTTTAGTATGGATTTTATTCTAATATACATTTCATACATATAGACATTATGGAATAGTACAGATAGAGTGTACATATATTTAGCTCAGTGTAGTCTGTCATTGTTAATAGCCTTTTTGTTTTATAGAGTCTATACCGAGAAACAAACTCAAATTTGTAGACTATCTTTTGCAACTTATTCATAAGACATTTGAAACTCATAGTGCTCGAAAATCTACAATAAGCTGTCCTGCATTGGCATATCAATCAACTAGACTTACTGCTAGACACTTTTTATCTCTTGTACCTCAAACAGCAAATATAAAAACTCTTCAGAAAAATTGTCTTCCATGTGCACACACAAGTAGAAAAAAAAGAACTGATCCAAGCTGTATACGTGGAGAAGGAGAAATGAAAGCCAAAGATTATTGGGTATGTTTTGATAGCAGCGAGAAAAGGCACGTCAGTAATAACAGTGCTTAGATCATTTTGAAACTTCCTAGAACCTTTCAAAGCATTCTATGAATCGAAAATTTCTTCAATATATTCTAACTAGTCTAAATATTGCGGATCCTGAAATTTAATGCAGCGAAAAGACCTTATTGAAGGTATCAGCAGTAGAGTGGTGATATCATTTATCTAGAAGAATCAGAATGGGACCGACAAAGAAAAGTACAAACGGATGGAATTCTAAATTTAGCCAAAATTTCATTGTATATGTCAAAATTCGTCAATAGAAAATATGATATACGCGGAATCTTACTGAACGATTAAATCAATGTCTATAGCAGGCTTATATGCTTGTTGAAATGACACAAGAAAGAATAAAATAATACTTTCTCCTCCTATGGCATGTATCGTATATAAGGGTGACTAAAACGTTTCGACCCCTCTGAGTAAATCGATGGTATTTATGACAAACTTATATATCGTTAATTAATTGAACTATGTAATTTTGTAGAGAAAGAGTAGAGCTATCATCTGAAAAAGAGATACTTCGAAATACTCAAGTACAAGATAATATTATGGTCATTTTATTCATCTTGAGTAGATATTTTCATGTCGCATTTTTTGAGAAAAATAAATAACAAGATGTTTTTCGTAAAAATATCTAAACGATTTATAAGTTTATCATGTTGATATTTTTACGAAAAACATCTTGTTATTTATTTTTCTCAAAAAATGCGACATGAAAATA